CATATTCTATTCTAGCCTAATGTCTGATTCTTCCTACATTAATCGAATTGTCTTTCCTTGATCTAAGTTAGTCATGTGTCACTCAAATGCATATTAAATCATAATTTCATCAATTGATTTCATCATCAAAATCTGTGATTCAACACGACAAGTAGAGTTTCGGATATAAGATATCCGCCGAAACACCTATCTTATTAGATATCCATTAAGCCCCCTGAATTATTAGATCTCATAGATAAGATCCAATAAGAGCTAATAAGAGATTATTTAGTAGGGACCTACTAATCTAAGAGGCTTGGGTAATTAGATGGAGATCCAATATCTAATATCCAATATGGTAAAATTCATTAGGATTAAGTTGACATGAGACTTATATAAATAAGAGGGAACCAAAGGGCCATAGGAAATGTTCTTTTTAGTTGGCACCTATTCTTCTCTCTCCCTCTCCTTCTCAACCCACAGCCCCCATTTGGGGCATGTGGATAACAAGAAGGGGCATCCCCTTCTTGATTGCATGGTGCATGCTACGATAAGGATTATGTAGCGATTTGAGGAGCGTCTTCGCAGCCCCTACCATATGGATCATCACTAGAGATGAGGACAATTAACCTCCTTTATTCTTTTCTATAGATTTGAAAAAATTCAAAGATATACGATCTCCCTAGGTAATACAATCTCCATAGTCTTCTTATACTAAAGAGAAAATTTTCATGCTCTATAATGTCAAACTTTGGTCGCCTTTGGATAGCCATGAATAGTCCATCATTCGTATATAAGCCCCTATATGAGTACTGAATTCTTCAAGTTAGTAATTTCTTTTATTTTTATGAGTTTTGCACAACTCTTTCGATCACCGAGCAAGTCATCCCTCTTTACATAGTATCATCCTTTGTTAAGAGTCTTTGCTTACCTTGAGCACCATCAAGTTTGGTTACTAATGTCAAGCCATAGCTCGAACTCTACCATCTCAATCTTTGTGAGCTATGCATTATTTCTAGTTTATTTATCCTCGTAGTGCCTCTCACGCAAAAGGTTAGTCATGTTGAATCCTAGATTTTGATGATGAAATCAATTTATAAGTTTATGGACTAATAAGTGTTTAAGATAAGTGACATAAGAGAAACGTTGATCATGGACTTAAACCATCGAAAGACAAATCGTTGAAGCAAGAGAATAAGACATTGGGCCAAAGAGCATCATATCAGAGATTGGATATCGAGCTAGAGGATTAGTCGGCGTGTTGGAGGATAGGTTTCGTGCCATAAGTTCGGGCATCAAGTCGGAAGGAAAGGGTATTGCGCTAAGAAGATTGGATGTTGTGGGAGGTCAATACACCGATGGATCAGACAATACGACGAAAGAAAGGATGATGCGCCGAAGGCTCGAACGAAGTGTCGGATGAACAGATGACATGTCGGACGATGTGCTGAAGGCCTCATGATTGTAATTAGAGTTTTTAAGTCTTAATCGAAGTTGTTTAGAGTCTAATTGAGTTAGTTTTTGGGTGTAACCATGCTAACTTGATTATGAGCCTTTGGGCCAAAACAAGGGCTGAATTAAGTCTATTTGAAGGTCAATTCAGTGACTTGGGGTTGGGCTGGGCGGTGGCACCACCAGGCTCAAGCGATGATATTACTTGAGAGTCGGAAAGCATTGTCTATGCTTTTCTAGGAACCCCGGTGGTAATAATGCCTACTACTAGTAATGATACCACCGAACGATAGTAGTACCACTAAAGCCCAAATTCTCGGGCTTTGTTCAATGGTAATAATACCATGCAATGTTGATAGTAGTACAGTCACTACCTCAAAAAATTGAGGATTTAAATTTTTGGCTATATTTTTGAAGTCATTTGGGGTCTATAAGTATCCCATTGCTTGCTTGATGGAACAAGATTTTTTTAGCATAAAAGTATAGTAAACTCTCTTAAAAAATGTCGAGTCACTTTCTCCTTGATTTTAGAGGTTATATTAAGGTGGTATGAGATTTTTTATAAAAGAGACGTATAAAAGTTCTCTCTTAAGCCGTGAAAAAGAGAAAATATTGTAATAAGGTAGTTGATCTTCATTTATTAAAAAAAAGATCGGTAGTAAAAGCCGATGGCCTTAAGGGAAGAAGAATCGAGAATAGACGTAGGTTCAGACGACCGAACCACTATAAATCTGGTTTTTATTTTTCTTTATACTTTTCCTTGCTATTACTAACTGATTTAGTTGCTCACCACCCTTACTTACATTTTAAGTTAAATACATTTTTGATATGGGTTTTATCAATCAAAATTTTTAAATCAAAACTTTATTTCGAAAGCACTAATCCTCAACGTAACTCTGTTAGGTCACTCACGTTTACATACCAAGTATTTTTAAATATATTTGTCCCACTTTAATACCATATCATAGACTTAACTAGTTTTACTTAAGTTGTGTAATACTCTTGCGTGTTTATCCGTAAAGGATCAACTTCTCTAAAATCTCTTATGGTCCCTTAAGGACCTACAAAATAGAAGATGGGTTAGAGGAAGTGTTTAACTCAGGATCTCATAATTGACATTTTAACAAACACTTGATTAACAATACATATGATAAACATAGATTTTGTAAGCTCCGAATGATTGCACGACAAAATGTCAAAAGTACTTCGCAACGATAAAAAGTCTCCACAAATGCTCATAAAATACTATTATAGAACAAGACAACGAACTAGAGACAATACCCCAAAGACCCATCTAGTTATATGTCACTCGGGTAGTTTTAGGGTGTTATACTAACAAACACTTTACGTCACGGAGCTAAAACCTTTCAAAATAACTATCTGAATAATTTATTTTTAAATAATTTTATTTCTACACAATACATAACTATTATTTATAAGAATACAATAATCATAAAAATGAATCAAAATAGGATTATTAAACACAAAGTCATCTATATATTGTTTAAAATATGAATATATATAAATATTACGTCAAATACCCTATGGTAATAATAATCTATCCTTCGTTAGCTAAACTATGGAATCGTGGGGTCCGTTATATAATAAAAATCAAACGCACTGACCATAGAAATATTCGGAAGATGTAATGAGATAGCAAAATGCAACATCTAAAATGATGCTAAAACATACATCATTCCTTTCCTAATAACTTAGGTTTTTAATAATTGTGGTTACTCAATCATATGGACATAATTATTCTACAATAGAACTGAAAGTAAAATTTATTTGCCATCAGTATTATATCGACTGGACTAGTGATGGATCAACTCCACAAGTAAAAAAAAAACAACCCTTCATAATCTCCGTTAAATTCTTCCTCACTTCATGTAATCTTGAATTGTCTCCTTTCACCTAAACCATCTAACATGAAACTTCAATTTTATTTAGTGTTGTGATAACATAAAAGATATGAGATATTTTCTTTAAAAAATTTAAACCATCTTTCATTTTTGTTCTAACTTCAAGGCATCCTTATCCTCAGACTTTTATTTAAATGAATTGATGATATATATTATTTAAAAAATCTTCAATTTTGATAATTAATTATTATAAAAAATTAAAAATAATACTAATCATCTTATAAATATATTTTAGTAATTATATAAAATTTTTAGTTAGTTTAGTAAAATTTAATCAAGTTATACTCGAAATTGAATTTACACTTGATTATAGTACCAATTCAAAAAATATTTATTTTTAATAATTAATTATTATAATTTTTTAAAAATAAAAATAGTATTAATCATCCTAAAATCATATCATAGTGATTTCATGAAAGTATGGATCGATTTAGTAGAAATCGACCAAGTTACACTCAAAATTGAAGTAAGTTATACATAACCACAAAACATATTCAAAGAAATATTAATTTTAATAATTAATTATCATAAAATCCTTTAAGAATGATACTAACCATCTTAGAATCATGGCAAATAGTTTACCAGAAGTTTAGTTAATTTGATGAAAGTTGACCAAGTTACAATTAAAACTAAACTTAGTTACTCTTGATCATAGAACATATTTTTTTTAAAAAATATTTTCATAAATAATTATAATATTTTTTTTAAAAATAAAAAATTTATATTAGTCATCTTAGAACCATGCCTTAGTAGATCTATGAAAGTTTGAGTTGGTATAGTAGAAGTTGATAAAGTTGATTCAAAAAATCTTAAATCTTGATAATTAATTATCATAAAATTTTAAAATAAAAATAATATTAATAATCTAAGGATCATGTTATAATTATTGTGTAAAATGTTTGAGCTGGTTTAGTAGAAGTTGACCCAGTTACACTCAAATTTGAACTAATTTATATTTGTTACACTCAATCACATAATTTATGAAAAAAATCTCTAATTATGATTTAAGCATAAAGGAACAAAGAGAAATCTGTGTGATTTTTGCATTGTGTAAACAAAAAATATATTTTAATTTAAGTGTCAATAAAAAAATTGTGGAAATTGTAGCGGTGTGGAGCGTGCACTATCCTGTGGAAATTGTAATTAAAGTATCGACGTAAATGGAAACAATCCTAAAATAAACTTGCAAGTCATTGCAATTTAAATGTTAAGATAAAAATAGAAAATATAAACAAAAAATCATGCGTGAATTTATATTGTGTAAAGGAAAATAGATCTTAATTTTAAGTATCCGTAAAACACAAATTATAAATAAAATTAAAAATACATAAAAATAACATGTGGCTGCTGGGATTCGAGCCCAGGTCTCCACGGCCACAACGTGGAATTCTAACCACTAAACTACAGCCACTATTTGTGTTCATTTGAGGCTAATAATTTAGTTATTATAATGTTTAGGAAACGAGGTGCCTACCTGTCATGAACTCCTGTGAGCGTCCTTTCACAATGGGAAGGGGCTTTCCATTCGGCCTTACGAGCATCCTTGTCACGTGGCGCACCTTTGTTTCCTCGCTAAAGCGTGACGTGGCAATCTCACTCTGCCCGAGCGAATACTTCAATCTCGTTGCGCCCTTCGTTCCTTCGGTTGAAATCCATCAGCATAACTGTTGAGCCGAGGAGGCATTGACGCAAGGATGCGTTCGCGGATGGAGAGGACAAGAAACGGGGATGGGCCGTGGGGGAGCGGCGGCAGTGCCGCGCCTGCGCTCTCCTCCTTCCCGTCCCCATCCCCGTCCTCGTCTTCTTCTTCCGACTTCGAGTTCACCGTCTCCCTATCCCCTTCCTCCAAGCGATCCTGCGCCCAGCTGTGCCCCGCCGACGAGCTCTTCTACAAGGGCCAGCTCCTCCCCCTCCACCTCTCTCCCCGGATCTCCATGGTCCGCACCCTCCTCGCCTCCACCTCCGCTTCCTCCTCCTCCACCGACACCACAGCCACCGCCTCCCGCGACTCCAACGGCAGTTCCTCCTCTTCCTCCTTCTCTGCCGCCGATCTCATCCTCCCGGAATTCGACTCTTCCCGCCCCAGCTCCATCACGGAGGATGAGATCCGCCGGTTCTCCACCGCCAAACGCCCTGGGGGCTCCAAATACCTCTCCTCCTTGGCCACCCGCTTCTCCGTCTTCCTCCACCGCGGTAGCAAGAAACTAGACCCGTCCTCCGTTCCCAACAGTAGCGTTCCCGCCCCTCCTCCGCCTCCTCCTCCTCTTCCCACCAAACGAGCAAACTCATTGTCATCGTCGTCGGCAAAGGAGGTGATCAGGAAGTACGTTAAGAAGGTAAAGCCGATCTACGAGAAACTCTCGGCGTTACAGCACAGAAACAACCAGCAGCCCCTGCAGCAGCAACGGAAGAAGACGTTCTCGTTCTCGATCAGGAAGGATAGAGTACTCGCCGGATCAGGCAAAAAGAATGTATTGGGGGACGACCGCAACCATGCCCGCAGAAAGGGCCTGAACTGCTCCAGCTCTTCGTCCTTCTCTGGGAACCTGCTAGCACACCCCACCAGGAAGAAGCCGTGGGCTGCGAGCTGTCCATCCTCCATGAGGTCTTCACCCAGCCACTCGGGCTTGCTCTACATTGGTGGGGGCGGGTTTCCTGAGCCTCCTCCTGCCCTTTCGTTGTCGGCTTCGTCAATGGAGGAGCTGCAAAGCGCCATACAAGGCGCCATTGCCCACTGCAAGAGTTCAATGATCCAAGCAAATGAGAAGAAGGCACCATTTCTGTCAAGCGACGAGGAGGAGTTCGCTGGATCTTGAGAAGAAAATGCATCCCTTGCTAGCTGACTAACGTTGTCGTACTTGCATGGCGAAGCCTTCCTCTTTATGTTTCTCGTTCAGAAAGATTAATCAGATGTGATTGCAGTAAGCTTGTCAAATGATGAGATCCACAACATCAAGTGTGCTTTTGCTCTTCGTTTTCTCCTGTTAAATGTTTCTCTCTGGTTCACAGAGATCTTTTCGCCTACTTAAAATCCAACCAAAGTAATCTCAAGTCTGCATTTTCGACAACAGATTCCATCTTTGTCCAAAGTCCAGCTTCCCTCTGGCTAGGTAGATCCATCCATATTGATCTCAAAAGCCTGCAACTTCCCACTTAAGAATCGAACTTAAGAGCTACAGTAATTATAAATGTGAGAACGGTAAACATGCCACTGAACCAAGAACAAAATCGGAGTGATACCGGATTAAAGGCAATGGCCGGCTTCAACAGTAGATGAATCTCTCAGCAAACTTTTGTACTAGGTCAAACCTTTGCCTTGTTCGTGCGTCACCTTTTCTCATTGCAGCTCTTGGAATCAGTTCCCTGTTCACTTCATCCAGAGCTGTCTTCGCTGCCATGCACCTGAACCCATGTGTGGTGGATTAATGCCAACTCCATGTGTATTCTGAGAAGTTTCATCCATTTGTGTGTGTCACTCTCTCTCTCTAAAGAAGGAAACAATATCAAGGCTCACGATCTGCTATTGAGAGAAACTGAAAGATCATCCTTGCTGTTCAAAATACCAAAGAGGGCACCTCATCAGATCAATTATCTATGATGTCGACCTCCTTCCACTTCCGAGCAAACTACAAAGGCAACCGTGCTGCTTAATGATGGTAACTTTACACCTGGAATCTGATCCGCGAACTCTGACATAGAGAATACTGATCCAAGAGCCAACACTTTCGGAGAAAGGAAAGATCAAGCAAATCATCAGCGCCATTTAGTTCTATCATCGTCATAGCGTTTATCATTGGATTATGCGTGCTGCTGCACTAGAGTACACTCGTTGAACGTGTCCAGCTCCACACCAGGATAAGTTAACCCTGGAATCTCATCAGCAAGCTCTGAAATATAGGGATCCTGACCCAAGAAAAAGATGCTGAACATGGCGTCAGAACCAGTAAAGAAGGGAGCCGAGAGCGAACTCGACCTACTGAGATCCCATCATTTCGCAGCTACCGACACCTGCAGGGGTAAAAGAAATGGGAACGAGGTGGTGGGGAGCCGTGTTTCCGTGTTTTCTTTGTCGTCGAGCAGCCAGACCGATGCGCATGGCGCTTGCGCAGGGCGGGTCCGCCGACAGCTGATGCGATCCCATGAGGAGTTCCCTTCTCGCCCACCGGAATCACAGGTGGAAGGGGGAGCAGATGGAGCGAAGACAGAACGTACAGTGTTTGCTTGCATCTACGGAGATATTTAACTGGTGCGTCATGAGCCATGCACATGCAGCAGTAGAGAGAAGAAGTCACGTGGAAGGTTGGCATGTGCCTCTGCAGATGCTCGTTGATGGATCGAAGGGCCGACATGTGCAGTAGGTTGCTTATAACTTGTGCCTTGACGAGACGATGCCATAGTCAAACCATGATAGATGATGAGTATAATTACAATTTAGATGCCACAATCATATAATAAAGAGATCTGGACCATTTAAATATCTTGATCATGGTAATTTTGGTATCATATGTTCAAGATGTAACAGTGTGACTAATATAAAGTTTCTCTCCACTTATCTTTTGCACCCCCAAAAAAAACCTCTGATTAGGATCATTGGGATTAGATTCATAATAAGAAGAATTTTGCAATTTCTGATTTATCTAGTGAATTTAAAATAAATAAAATGCACAGTGAATTATTTTTAAAATAAGAAGTTTTCATATATTTGTCTGTGCACAAAAAAAAAGATTCTTATTTTTTTCTTCCTAATATGAAATCTTCGAGAGTTTTGGATCACATAATACAAAACTTAATCACATCTCGAATTAGTTTCCTAATTAACAAAAAATGCAAATAGAAAAAAGTTAATCCCAATATAATCAATCAGCTCCAAATTATTTGATCATATTATTTTGGGACTATATTTCACCACGATTGATAAAAATAGGAGACGACTAGTCACGATATAGTCAATTATTAATCAAATTATTCAATCTTTTTTTTTTTAAGTTTTGACGTTTGAGGCATTTCTCTTAGTATATTTCACATTGATTTTAGATTATCGAAGGTTTTCTATGATGGATAGATAAAAACATCTACCAGTCATGGTTATCATTAAATTTGAAAAAAATATAATTACGTAAATTTATTTTTGTTGCTTACATTAATTATTTGACATTTCATAGTTTCAAATATTTTAAAGGGATTTTATTATCAGCTTGAGTTTTGACATCATTATGGCAATGATTGACTGACAAGGAACATAAATACATAAATGACATATCTACGACATTTTTTGAGCTTTATATATATATATATATATACTAAATTAAATGATATATAACAATTCGTTAGTTATATTCATGATAAACATTTCTCGTGTGAGAGGAGAGACAATAACAGAGAGGGAAGATAATGACATGCAAGAATCCAAAACAAGTGGCAAGCAATGGGGGCATCCTATTAAGCATCTGCTTACCTGTTTCATTCGGCGACGGGGCCCTACCATGAGGTGGATATTTCAATCGAAAATGATTGCGACGGACGGAAGAAGAAATCACAACCAAACATTGCCCCAACTTTGCTTCCCACGACGATTTCTCGCTTCGATCGCGAGTATTCGTCCGATTGCCGTTGTCGAGGGAGGAAGCGTCAGCCCCGGGTGCCGAGCATGATGAGAGCTCCCGATCGTCTCCGGCTTCTTGCCCCCCTCCTGCTGCTGTTGCTTCTTCCTTCGTCGTCGCTGTCTTCGTCGCCTCCTGATGTGCGGGAAAGCATCGGGGAGTTGCTGCGAAGGTTGGAGAACAAGCGGCCTTCTTCTTCCGTCCAGGTGGCAGCCGCCCATGCCCTCCTCCTACGGTTGCTCCCCACCCATCACTCCAGCTTCCGCTTTGAGATCATCCCCAAGGTTGGAACTCTGGTTAGACATGATGTAACTCACAATGTTCTCGTTTGTTGCTATTTTACCATTGTTTACTACTGTTTTTATTTCTTGTCAGGGAATTTGCAAGCAAAACGGTTGCTTCCATATCAGTAATGTCAATAGCTCGAACAGTGATGGAGCAGAGATATTGTATGAAACCTAATCAGTTAATTAAGCTCAATAACTACTGCGTTCTTGTTCCAAATTGAATCAGGGTAGGTGTTCAGCAACTTGTGATAATGAATTATGTAAATGTTTGTCTTTGCCAAATAGGATTCGAGGTACCACAGCAGTAGAGATCTCCTCCGGTCTTCACTGGTATCTCAAGTACTGGTGTGGTGCCCATATTTCATGGGACAAAACAGGTGGTGTTCAATTAGCTTCAGTTCCTCCACCTGGGTCGTTGGCTCGTGTAGATGGTGAAGGGGTGAAGGTTGAACGCCCCGTTCCTTGGAGTTACTACCAAAATGTTGTTACTTCCAGTTGTACGTGCTCCATCAAATTTGCTTTTTTCTTCTCAGTACTTAAGATGCAAAAGACATAAGAAATATCTCAACTCCAGCTTTTATTTTGAAGTTGTTTTTCTAGGATGGCATGTTGTACTACTTTGATGGTAGAGGGAGGAACATAATTCTGTAGACAATTCATATTTGTTGCTTCACTGAAAATTTTGTATTTAGACCTTTATAAATTTCAATTGCTGAATCTAGGCCTTCCCTTTTATATTTAGTTTATCTTTTTATTAGAATGATATGATTATTATATGAACAACACTTGATGTCAGTATTAGCTTAAAGAAAATAATGAACTGAAATATGGCTGATTAGCAGTGTCTTTTCATCATAAATGATCCAAAATGCATGCACCTAAGTTAATGATCCAAAATGCATCCATCGGGTTTTTATAGATTAACTTAAATCTTCTTTGGGTACTATAATAATCTTCCTCTTAATGACTTGAAGGTCTCATCAAGACCCAACATTGTCTAGAATCAAATCCTAACACAATGCATATGAAGGCAAGGCTATGGTGACTCCACGAATGATGTCTTTAGTACCATCCACTGATAGTCCTTTTTTACCTGGCTTCCTCATCAGTTCAAATATCATTTATCATGACCTGATCTGATGAGATAACTTATGCACTTACTTTTTGGTCAACACTAATGCACAATGTGATTAAATTTGGTCATCCTCTTCATATGATTAATTTTGGTCATCCTCTTCATGAGTTTCACATGCTTTTGAGGAGCTTGGTTGTCAATGTCACCTATATTGAGATATTGTATTTTGTCTTTGAAACTACAAATTTTATCATTTTCATCACCACTTTGTCATATATTTGGTTGGTGAGAGTTTGCTAAATGGTGGTGGAAGTTCATTAACCACAAGGAGCTAATATGGATTGATCTTACTTGGGCCAAGTACTTTCTCATAGTATCCTTGATGGGATAACTTTGTCAGTGAATCGGTCTTCTCTCTTATCTGGAAGATAATGATCTTATTTGGATTATTTATATTTGTGACTTCCTTTGTCATGGGAAATGACAAGCTTGATGGACTCTAGATTATGTTTTAAATATCAGTTTTGACATGTTGTCGAATGGATAAGGTAATGGCGTACCAAGTGGTATACTGCCCCTATATCACCCTGTGTCATTTTAAAAACAATAAAATGAATATTACCAATCCAATTAGTATTTGAAAGTTGAAACCATACTCAAGATAGATATTTGGATGGGGCTTAACAATCAACTGAATTCCCTTTGCTATCTTCAAGGATATATGATGTTTTTGTTACAATTCTTGCTTGACTCCAAGAAAAAACTGGCATATCTAAGATGTCACTTTTGGTGTGCATCAAAGCCATAATAGTTTCTCAAATTGGTTGCCCTTTTTGACTGAGTAAAAGATTTTCACATTAGACAGGAAGTGAAATGGGGATGGGATTGTTTGGGATTAATAGTTTTCTTCTATAGAGCATTAAATTTTAGTGGAATCTTATTGACTCATTCTAGTTCTCTGTGGAAATGACTCTTCTTAAATCAAGACAAATTTATGTGGTCAGCTCTAAGAGAGGGTACCTGTCCATCCTGTAATTAAGGAAAAAAAAGGAGGAATGATACCCTTTTGGTATTGCAGCAATCTTCTGTAAACAATGGATTGTATCCTGCTCATTTGCCCTTTTGCAAAGCCAATGTGGAAGAGGGACTTCTTTATTCTCACTCGACTAGAGCTACCTTAATTTGGGAGTTGGGACTGATGGAGGAAAAGAAGGATAAATGATGGAAGATTCTACTGGATTGGGTTATTTGTTTCAATCTCATGGGAAAACAAAAAGAAAAAGAAACAGAGTAAATTATGATATATAGGTCTAAGTTGCATTAAAGGTCTCCATCAGATGTTGTTTTATCTCTGAGAATTGATAATGTTTTTATGAGGGAACTAGACAATTTTGATGAGTCTGTATCTGTACTGTATCGGTGTATCCAAATTTAAATCATCGGTCTATCCTTATGTCTGTTCACTATGTAACCCTCTCCCTCAGTGAAATAAAATTTATATCTAGGACAGGTAAGTGTTGAAGTCCTTGTCGCTAGTTTTTGAAGCCTGCTTTTGAATGTGTAACTGTTGCCTACTTGTTGTGATATTTTTCTTCTTTTAAATATGCTGCTTGGTTTCTTAAACATTAGTATCAAATGAAATGTTTTTAGTCTTTTTCCTACGGAATGCCATATATTTAACGATCGTCTAAAGCCCTGAAATTTTTATCTTCCTTTGGTGCTCTCCAAAGACTCCTATGTTTGGTGGGACTGGAGACGATGGGAAAAAGAGATTGACTGGATGGCACTCCAAGGAATCAACTTACCTTTGGCATTTACAGGGCAAGAAGCCATCTGGAAGAAGGTTTTTAAGGTGATGTTAGTAATCATATTATGTTTGTTTCATGACCATTTTTTTCCTAGTTTGTTTGCTTTTAATTGAAACTTATTTCATTGAATACGAGCTCTAGATTTTAGTTGGGAAAATCATTGCCTTCAACAAGTTTTAGGAACTTATCATTGTGAATTGAGTTTCTTTAAGTAATTAAATAACTACAAAAGGTTCTGCTTTACCTCTATGATAAATCAACTGATAATTGGATATACATAATATATCCATTACATTGCTTCCTTATGTCAACTTGTCAAGTGGTAGAGTGCACTTCCATGTCATGATGAATAGATTTAAGATAGATTTTATGATAACTTGCTTACATTTCTTTGTAATAATGAGACCTTATTAATCCTTATCTCATCAGTGGCATAGTGCATAACTGCATATACTGTGTCATCATAAACATAGCTAGATTGATATTGTAACAAATAATTTTATTACTTAGCTTTAAATTAAATTAAGTTGCTATTCATGGACAAACTGTAATTAAAGGCTTTGGCAAATCAAGCATATCAAAGATTCGGTGGCAATGTGGTAATCCAATTGAGTGCAAAATATTCTGCTTGGTTGTGGTGCTAATGGAGTTCTCAGAATATTGTGAATTGATTCTTTGATTTTCTTAGTTATAGTTTATATTTCTATTTTCTAGAACATCTGGTTGATTATAATTCTGATTTCTGAACAGAAATAAAAAGTATAAAAGAAAATAAGTAAAATAAATGGAATGATGGTTGACAGAAGAAGGCTGCAATCTACCCATCAGAGAATTTTCTTATACTTTATCTCTCTCATGCTATTAATAACAAAATAAAAAGTGACAATTAAGATAGCAATAAACAGAAAATGGAATGACCAAGAAAGGAAGAAGAGAAGAAGAGGGCTGTTTTTTCAGAAAAGATAATCTCATGCCCATCTTCCCCTATTGTTTAGTAGGTGTATATGTTTTGCTAACATACATGCCCTATTGCACACACATTTGGTTGTATTTTTTTCTTGGGTGGGGGGTGGGGGGGGGGGGTTACGCGGTGGGGTTGTGAAAAAAGGGGGACAATGTTGGTGTGGGTTGGGTACACCGTTTATGAGGTTCCTTGGAATTCAAGCAATGCATTGAAAATTCAAAGTTATCAGGCTATGTATCTTTCCAGAAACACTGGCATATCTTATTTGAATTTTAACAGTTTTCTCTCTTTCTTTGTTTCTGAATGATTTTCTTCTTTTTTGTCTCAGGGTTTTAATGTTAGTAGTGATGATTTGAATGATTTTTTTGGTGGACCAGCCTTTCTTGCTTGGGCTCGAATGGGAAACTTACATGGGTATGTCATGTGCAAATTAATTTTGCAGGAAATCTGAATACTTTTTAGACATCTATATTTAGTATATTCTTGGACTTGGAAGCACATGCAAGCAGAAAAATGTTGACCAAATAAATCAATATACTGCATGATATAATAAAGCATAAGGACACATAGATTAAATAAACATATTTTCTATTATTTACTTCCCTATATTATTGACATGTTATGATAAAATGATCATTCACTTTTATGTCTAAAATGTTGGTGAATCTTTTATGCAATAGGAATAGATAAAGACTATGAATTTTGTGATTATAATATGTTAATAATTATGTTTTCTATTCGCTTGTGATGGATCTTGGCCTATTCACATAGGAAAATGTTGGCAAATGAAGCCAATTTGATTCCACTATCTTTTTTTGCTTTTTTTATGGCACTCAGGTGTATTAATTGATTGTTTTCAATTCATATTGTTGCCAATATAATGTCCCAACAATTCAAACTTGTGAAATTCTATACATCATCCATAGTTTTTCCTTTGATGTCTAAAGAATCTAATTACAGAAGACTAGTAATGTTTTATTAACTTCTCAATGACCTTTAACCTATCATCTAATAATATAATATTATTTTTGCTCTATTTCCTGTCAATACTTGCTTCCCCTTTTTCTTGTAATGACCTACTAATATGCTGGTAAACTTAATTTGAAGAACCAGAGGATATAGCTGGGAAGTTCTATGTTCTATTTCGGATATGTTGTTTACCTTTTGTTGATCAACCAGTAGAAGCTTGTTTTTTGCTCAATGGCAAGACATTAGAAAAATCATACCATCTTAAAATTCCTAGGATTATCTTCAATTGTATAGCATTTGATAATTCTATACCATGAGAAATCTTTTATTGTAAAGATTGAAGAATGGAACATAATCTTGCACATGACACTAATAAGGTGTGGTCAGTGTCTATATTTAGGTCAAGATAAGCAATCTCCACCATTTTTTCAGGAGTTTAGTAGGATATGATTCTTGCATCAGGTTATCTCCAATTCAAGCAAAACTAATTGCCCAAGGCTGAAAAACAGATAGATTAAAATTTTACCACTTTCATGACAAATCTATGACAAAATGAAATAACCAATAACAAGATATGGTCTTTTGGGCATACAATATACCATCTATAGTAAATTGAGATAATGTTTAGGAGAAGATATTTTTATCTGTTACTTTTGTAAATTTGTCATTCTACAAAAGTCTATCTAAAAGTAAGTCTAAGATTCTCTAGTTACTCCTACTGGCTTAAGGGCTTTTCCTACCCTATCTATAACCAAAACATGACAAAATACAATATGACAGTGAACTTAATATACAAATATGTATGAAGATGAACCCAAAAGTAACAGAAAAGATAGAAAAAACATAAAAATGATAGAGAAATAGAAAACCCTATTTAAAAGGCCTCCTGTCCAGGGTGGGGCTCTCTCGGGAATAACCTGGGGTCCAGGTGCTCAGTCATAGTGCATTATATTTTCGTTGCATGTTCAAGTTTCTGAACATTTGCCACTTCTAAAAATCAGTATTGATGAGTCTGTTGCAATTTATTCTGTCAATCAAAAGCGCTTAGTTGAATCTTACGAACTGGTTCCTTTAGGACAAGAGCATCTTGGGCATGTTAATGATGTGATACAAGAAAAAAAGGAACATATTAAAAGATTTAGTTGGAAGTATAACATTGAAGATAATGAATAACCTTGATATTTCATTACTTGTCACACAGATGGGGTGGACCGCTGTCTCAAAATTGGTTGAATCAACAATTATTATTGCAGAAACAGATCCTATCTCATATGGTTGAGCTTGGAATGACTCCTGGTACTTCTTTAACATGTTCTATTACACATTCAAGGGATTTGTGCTAAAAGCTTTTGATATTGCCCATCTTTTTTTACTTCATGATCTTGACCATACTCAAAAAAGAAGATTCTATGAACTATTGTCTTATCGAAGGATTTAATGATTTTAATCTGAACATAGCAATTGAATTATACATGATAATGCATGTGACATGATTATATTCAGTGTCTGCATGTCTCTTTGGACTATATGCAAATCTCAAGAGAAGTTAAACTTCATTTTAAGTGCTGCTTGTTGTTTCTTTGTTAATTGCCAATATCAAGGATTCAAGTCTAGCTGAAACCCCCCATCTCGGCTTTGCAGTGATACAGTTTGTGGTGACAGTATGACACGGGCTATTGGAGGGTTCATGTTAATTCACTTGAAATGGAACAAAAAATTGAAAGAAACAACAAAATGAACAACAATCAACTTATGCTGTGAGAACAGAGCTTATCCAGTATGCGCTCTGTTGTAGGTTTTTTTTTCTAGCCACGTAGTGCTGTGAAATGTGGATGTCGAGTACCAAAACTCGGTTGACAAGGACAAGGGGCATGCCATATCAGCCAGAAAGTTTGAGCCCTAAAGAGGGAAAACACTTAAGTTTTAGTAATTGGTCATGTCCAGTTCAATCGTTTAAACTGGTTAGTACTCTTTTAAGTTTTCCATTTTAAGTGACTGAATCGCCTATTTATGTGACTGTTTAATGCTTTTGGAATGGCTATTCTTCTGGTATAATATGACGTCATTTTGGAGTTTCAGAACCTCATCATAATAAGATATTTTGAGCAAGAATTTAAATCTCAACATGCTACCAGCTTTGGTCACTGCTCAAAACAGTGTGGTACTGGTATATCGGGTGTTATATGGACCCATGTCACCCAGTATCTTTAGAAAAATAAGAAAGATAAATACTAACCAGTATTAACCTATATGGTCTTGTATTGGTCCATGGTTGGACAGTTAAATAATAGGATGTACCAAATTGGTACAACAAAAATTTCAACCATTTCGCCTGAAACAATTTAAAACTAAAATACTTGGTCTGTATCTTTATGAATTACAAAATGTAGCAGTTTCTGCAAGCTCAATCTTGTTGTTCTTGAAGATGTCATGTTGTTATATGTTGCTTGTTTTATTCAGTGTTTGTCCTTGTCCTATCAATCACCAATTACATATGGTGTTGTATAAATTCAATTTTGTGTTGTTCCACTTGCTTTCCCATCAATGTTGTGATATTTTGCTTAAATTCTCACTACTTCTGGGAATTAACTAGGTAATACTTACAGTTAAAAAAAAGGAAAAAATTTGGACCCTCTACTAAAATTATTTTTCCTTTTAATTTTTATATTAACGACCACTATTTTGTTAACAATTTCCAGACAAATAGATATTTATCATTTTCAATAAATTTTGTAATGAATTTTTTAAGAGTTATACTTTATTCTTTCACTTATATAGTTCTTGTGATTTTCAGTGTTACCATCATTCTCCGGCAATGTTCCAGCTGTATTTAGAAAATTATTCCCCTCTGCAAGTATTACCAGACTTGGCGATTGGTACTTTGTTGGTTTCTTTTTTTGGTATTAGACAGATACGATAGAAGTTTTTTGTTTGTACTGCCTTTGGTATTAGACAGATACGATATAAGTTTTTTGTTTGTACTGCCTTTGGTATTTGTATTTCTCATGGTTAGCTACTTGCTTGCTACCAATTTTAGCCAGATTTAGGGGGTTGTTTGGAAAAATGTGATTGTAATGCTTCATTTGTTGTCCTTTCATCTGACTGCTAAGTACCAATGGATATATTGGTTTGAGAGTTTTGGGAATAAGAGAACAATTTCCTGGTGGTGATTCATTGTCAAAGATGAATACACTGCATGCTTAGAATTGGCATCCTAGAACATATACATTTAAAGAAAGTGCCTTTACATTGAATTTTGAAAAACATTTTCTTTTAAATGTTGCTTACTTATTTTCAATGTTGAGCATATATCTCAGATATTCAACAAAATTCTTCATCTATCTGTTCTCTTGACAATGCACATGGATCCTTACAGTAGAAACTTGTTAACGATACACAGTATAGTCTAATTCTAGAAGCTCGTCACAGAAACTTATATAGTGAGTCCATGTGGAGAAATTAGTGTTAATGGATCTGAAGATCCCATTGTCCATTATTTGTTGATTCCTCACATCTGCTTGCTCTCCAAAATCCAAATGCAAGTTGAATACAAAAATAGAGCCGCAGTTGAAAGAGGGTAGCCCACTACATGAAGCTTCTAAAATGCAGAGAGGTTATTTTCATGAATAGAACTTTTTGACACTGAACCTTACATGTACACCAAAGCCCAATTTCTAGTAAAAGGAATTATGACATCCAAGTTCAATTGTTTGATATATTTTTATGCCTGGTTGATGTATGGTATTCCTTCTTAGTCACAAAGTTGAAACACTGTCACAGCATGGGTTTATTTGAAGCAGAACCTGTCACATGTTAGTAATATACCATGCTGCACAACCTGTACCTGCTTTGTGCATGCATGGCATTCTTTGCTTGAGTTTCTTTGGATTTTCTTTGGAAGTACTTTATCTATTGTTTGAGGATCTCTTTCCTGTTATATTATTTAGCAGTAATTATCGTCAAAACTACATTGGCAACAAATTACAGCAAAAAGTTTTGAATTTTAGCAGACTGTTTGAGCTCTAGTGCTTTATGCTGATCAAAATGATATCGATTCTAACATCATTTGTGGACACTCTATTTCATCATGATGCACATTGGTCTTGAAGTTTCATTCCCACTTGTTTCCTTTGTTCATGTCCTTCCAATATAATGTACTTTCAATTTTAATCATTAGACATGGATAGTTCTTCAATGAATTATTGGTGAATCAATGTTTTTAAATGGAGTACATTGTTGAGAAACTTATTCAGTATTGTTCTGGATCTCATTGCTGGATTTCCTATTATGATTAGGAGCTTCTCCAACTCTAAGGTCATCAGTGCTAAGTTTAGTTGTTCCTTTTTCTTTGTTTTAGTTAGCATTGTAGGCAGATTAATTTCTAGAAATAGGTAATATCATGAATATTTGACTTAGCTAGCCAGCTAAGAGGGTTCTATAGCCAGTTTATGTTATAAATATGAACCAATTGTCATCTGTTTCCCATGAAATGAAGTCCTGGAAGTGCAGATTTTTAGGTGCTTTGTATGAGATAGACCCTATGTCTTTTCCTCTTCTGTTTTCTCTTTTTTGTTTGCTTTCTTTACCTTTTTCCTTTGTTTCCTTCTTGCAGCAGCTACAAATCAGTTTCCATCCACAGAAACCTGCATCCCTGAAAAATCAGCTATTGTTGCTTCCATGTCTAAATTCCTGAGAGGTTGAACCCACATCACTTAATCAACTCATTTAATTCACAGTTCTGTCACATGCCTATCTTGAACCCTTTTGCATTGGTATTGAACCTTGACAAATTAGTTTTGCTGCAGTCCAGAACCTGAATGGTTGTTCAGTTTCTATATTGTTAATCTTGTAGCCTTAGTGTCATTATTCCTTACAGCCTTAACTCACCTGTATGTTTATTATCTAATCAGTGTCAGAGTGCAGTGAATATTTCTATGATATCTGATTAGTATTTTATACAGAATTCTAAGAACAAGGTTGAATGGATTTTATTCTTGGGCTGGAGGGCATTTTAGTTAGAAGCTGCCAATTTATCACAAGATGGTAGTCTAACTCTAACATACATCCACGCATATGCAATTGCAACTGTGACAATCGTCTTTTGAAGTTCTTCCTGATCTTATTGGTCTTAGCTTCCTCTATTTGCAATCCAGAATTCTACCAACAAGGTTTAATGTATTTTTTCTGAGGATTGGACTGAAGGGCATGCTAATTAGAAGCTGCTGATTGATTACAAGATGGTAATACATAACATACATCTACGGATATGCAATGGCAGCTCTGAGAATTGCCTTTTGAAGTTCTTCTTCCTGATCTTATTGGTCTTATCTCCCCTGTTAGCTATCCACTATTTTTGAGGCTGTAGTATTTAGGATTCTGAAATCCTAATCCATTATAGCCCCTGCCTTTGCTGTAATTTGTAATTTGAAATCAAGTCCCAGTTTGGAACCAAATTTCAGGTTTCATTTTGTAAGTTATTTAAATATCTGCCTTAGGCTCTAAAGCATTTTTTCTTGATACCAAATTGGCCACTGGTGGTCCTTCATTAGTAGGACCACTGCGATATGACAATTGAAATATATCTGATAATTGAGAGAGCCTATATTCTGTTTCCCCATGATATACAATTTGTATCTCATTATTTCTCTATTTCAGGAACACTGTTGATGGTGATCTTCGGTGGTGTTGTACATATCTTCTTGATCCAAAAGATCCTTTGTTTGTTCAAGTGGGAGAGGCATTTATCAAGCAACAAATTGAAGGTGCCATTTCAATTACAGAAGATATTTCTAATCTAATCATCAGCTAATTGCATGCGAGTCCATTTTTTCCTTTTTCTTGTTAACAAATTTATTGCCAGATTAGAAATTTTTACTTGAATTTTATCTAGTCATTATATATATATATATATATATATATATATATATATATATATGCTTTGTAGTATCAAAATTTTTAAAATTAAATACATGAAAATATCTAAAATTGCAGGCACTCATATATATATATATATGAGTGCCTGCAATTTTAGATATTTTCCAACAATACTATCAAAATTTTTAAAATTAAATACATGCAAAAGTTATCCCCTCACATATGCTTTGTAGTAAAATCCACTATCACAAGTCATTTAGAAGAGAACCGTTTATTAATTAGTTTTATGTAAAGTTCACAACTATTTGGTTAGATAAAATTGTTAATGGGTGTTTGTTGGAAATTGGTAGTTCACAATTATTTTGCTAATGAAATAACACAAATAATTAAACATAAATAGATTTTACAAGTAAACAATTATATTTAAAATCGGTGATTTAAAAAGTACTAGGTGCCAAAAGGCATCAAGGTCCAAAAATGCCCGAGGCGCTAGGTACTCGCCCGAGCGAAACAAGGCACTAAAATATAAAAATATATAATATAATTAATAAATATAATTATTTATTAATTATATTTATTAATTATTAGTATACAGTTAACAGTATACTGTTAATAGTATACTATCGAGTCGATGTGAGAAGAGTGTGAGTAAGAGCAAGATCGGGGCTGTTGACTAAGAGCAGCAACAGTGGCAACAGAGAACAACAATAGTGGCAGCGACAGCGACAACAATGGTAGTGGCACGGTGAGCAGCGACAGTAGCAGCAATAGCGGAGAGAGGCAACAACAACGGAGAGAGGCAACGACAGCAAGGAGGAAATGTCGACGGTAGAATTGTGTGCTGGTTAGGGTTGGGGAAGTCGCGAGAGGAATGCTGGGAGGCTGATATCGGTGCTTGAGTTTTTCAATTGAAGCAACGAAAGCACCGAAGAATGAACCATACCTAAAACGTTGGTTCGGTTGCCTGGTTTAACCCGGGCGCTCGCTCAAAGTGCCTGGCGCTTGGGTTCGGGCGAGGGCCCCAGTGGCGCCTCTTTGAAGTGTGCCACTTGGACATGAAACGAGGCGCTCGGGCCTCACCTCGCCTCGCCCGAGTGCCTATTCAAATTGCTATTTAAAATTTTTGACTTTGAGGTGATTTAGGATGAAATCATTAAAAGAACGTTTAGTTGCTTTTCATCCCAAGACTGAACACCGGAGATATCCATAAGCTTGATATGCATAATATCTAAAGATTGAATGTGGATCCATGATATTAAGCATTAACATACTTGAGCATGTTGTAATTTAATATTCAAATTTAATCAATTTAGGAGGAGTCATGAACATCAGATATATGTATGAGTTCCAAAATACTCTTCCAGGATCTTTAGCTTTTAAGCAAATCTTGACTCCAACTTTCATTTGTGATGTATGAAATCAATTACAAACTGAAGTAAACACGTTTGATGTTGTTATTTACTGACCCTGCTACAATTATGCATACTCTGTAATTCCTGATCCAACTACAAATAGTCTTCAAAAGCCCAAAACTTCAAATCGTGACTTGATCAGAGACATCTTTGAAGCTTTAATCCCAAAATGACCAATTTATCTATAAAATATTTAAGTAAATTGAGCTAGGCAACCCAACAAGCTTGTCATAAAGGTCTAATAGCAGTGAAGATCTAGATGGTAGTGTGACGATCCAAGAATGAAGTAAAATCCAGATTACATAAATGATCAGGTTGAGTAAAATGCAAAATCATATTATAAGATGTGCACTGGAGAGTTCAGATATATTCCACTCATATTGAGCATCCAGAAGTGCCTTCAATGTCTTGAGAGGTTTCAGAAATGTCTATTTTGCATTAATATGGGCCCTGAAATATCCCACCTGTGTATGAGCAAGGGTGGAGGTCATGAGTCATGACACAGAAATTATAGCTCAATAATAAACCTTCCTGAGTGCCTGACCGCACTCAGATTCAGTGGGATTAGAATTGCATACTCAGAATTAGGGATGATCCAGATAACATGGAAGAGGCAATAGCAATAAACAAGTTATATTTGGATATTAGGGCCTCAGGATTTTCCTGAATGTCTTAGTCTGATTCTAATTGGAACAGTTAAGGCTTCTCTTTCTTCTTCAGATCTCAACTGCATTCTTTGCGTCTCTAGCCTCCATCACTCTCTACTCGCTCTTTTTCTCTGATACCTGCTTTCTCTATAATGATTTTTATGCTATTGCTTGTGTATACTTCTCTAACATTATTACACTCAATTACTTGTTTTGTTAATGTTTGTTCTATATGTTACTGGTTTCTGTTATGTTTCTTGATTGTTGGCAAGAATTTACCATCCTCAGCATCCGAAGACTGCTTGCTGTTTTCTTAGGGCAGTGAGAATATTCTTTGATTTTACCTGTAATGCGTACTTGTTTGGTTTTATAAACCTTGTAGAATTTCAGTTCTGATAATCTCCCAGCATCATGCATGAAATTCATCACATCAACTTTGGCTGCATTTTCATTAAGAATTTAAGTGTTTTTGTTGTTGATGACATATTTGAACTACAGAATACGAGTGTTGCCTTCTGATATGTATTTATTGTACATATGGTGCAATTGTTCATATGTTGTGTAAGCTCGTGACTTGTATGTCAACATACTTTTGTTTTTAATATATAGTTGTTTCAGTCTCTGACTGTTCTGCTGCCTCTGCATATTGCAGAATTTGGGGATGTAACTGACATCTACAACTGGTAAATATACATTGTTGTTGGAATTTTGAGTTATTCATACTAGTTATGCAATCTCTAAATATCCTTAAATGTTCTGTAATAGCCATGTACTTTAGTATAAGTCCTTCATTTTTAGACATGGGGCATGCTAAAGGAGTCTTTATTTGTTAGGAGGCCATCACCAAAAGATATAGTTTCCTAATTGACATTTGGGAGTGGGTTTAAACCAAAACTGCCTTAGACACATCAGAATATGGCTTGATTTCAACTTTATTCAAGTAGATTTTTTTTGTTGGTTCCGAAACAATATTTAATGCCTGGAACTCCATTTCGCTCAGATTGGTAAATCAATGACATGGACGACCTCTTTTCCGGTCATCTGGGTCTGGTACATGGCTTACTGCTTGGTAAGCCTATTAAATTGTGTTTACGGCCCAGTTATTTTAAAATTTCAAGTTATACTACCTCCCGCCCCTCTCTCTCTCTCTCTTGTGATTTTTTTCTCTTGTGCTTTCCTCCCTTGTCAACCTCGCCTACTTGTTGCTTGTGCGACCAACGGCCGATCACTGTCGGTACACTCCTCTTTTTCTCCACCTCCTCCTCCACTCCTCTTCTTCTCCCATCTCCTCCTTCTCATCCCTCTCTTGGTACCACGGTTATGGTGTAACGCCCCCAACCAAATGGAAAGTTTTTTTAATACTTTTGCAATTTAGTCCCTATAATATCTATATTTACAATTAGGTCCTCAAATTAAATTTGGGGTATTACACATGGACTAACACGGTTCTGGTTCCCGAAATGACAAAATTTGATTCAGTGGTAAATTTGATATGAATCTGTGTATGGTCATATCAGAGATGGCTGCCACCTTCAAAATGGAGAAAATCCATTTCCAATATAATTTTGTTGTTTGACCAATAAGTAAAATCTGAATCAATACTAGTCAGACCTCTACAAGAAGAGAGAGAGAGAGAGAGAGAGAGAGAGACTGGATGTATCTTCGAAGAACATGCTTTCACTCTGATGGCTGTAGAGGTAGGCTCGATGTTGTGTGGGACCAGGTGAAATTGCCCGGTCCATGGCATCTACCAACTGGTACTTCTAGTTTTGAGACCTTGGGTTGCCCGACTAATGCATCTTGGGTTTATGTGAGTATAAAAAGGCACAAGTTTCAGCTGGTTTTTCCTATTTGAATGAGTCCCACAAAGGCTTTTAGATTCCTCCAAAAGAAATCATATCTGAAGATAATAATGATAGAAGCCTTATACATTTGCTTGAGAGTCTTAATTAAGTATAATTTCTGCTGTAGATATAAGGACTAGTTGAATCTGTAGAATGGTAGGAGCATCAGCTGAAGTTGCTATTAACATATTTCCCTTCTTTCTCTTTTCTTTGCTCAGTTGCGACAGTGCAATCTCTGCCAGGAACAGTACTGGTTTCGGACCAGACTTGAAACCTTGGATTGGAGTTTAGTTTATTGTTACTCACTTAAAATATGGAATCTTTAGTTGGCTTCTTTTCAAGCACCCTATCATTTGTACTTAATCTTTATCCAGTTTGATGTCCCTTCACTTTGGTAGATGGACAATTATGAGTTTATGACTACTTTGGTGATTCTCTTGATGAGCTGATTGTTTGTTATATTTCTGGATCCTGATGTCTCTTCCCAAATTAAATGCACAGTTGTACTGTTTATGCAAATTCTAATTTGATACTATTTTTTGTAGTGATACATTTAACGAAAATTCCCCACCAACAGATGATCCAAAGTATATCTCATTGCTTGGAGCAGCTGTTTATAAGGCCATGTCTAAAGGTGATAAAGATGCTGTATGGTTAATGCAGGTACTTCATTCCTTAGCTTAACATGTTCCAAATTAGCACCCTTTTCATAATGAAATTATATTAATTAGAAACTTCTTTCATTTTTTGTTTATATCTATTATTATTTTCTAAATAGCATTACCATACTTTTGATTGTCTGTTCTATAATACTTAGTTGAAAGGTGAATATATTCATGATACATGCTAAGAGCTCTTAGAGATTTTACCTCAATAAAAGAGTAGTTACTAATCGGGAAACAAGAATAAAAAATGCATCGGTCAAATATATGACATAAAAGACAATTGTGATTAATAAAGAGAACCATGATAAATAATTTGTAGAAGTCTTCTACTTGCATGATCACCAATAAAGAAGGGAAGCTTTTAGTTGAAATTGTATTTATAATTTCTTTAATTTGGGCTATAATTATTTAAAACCAATAATGCATTGAAGTGGTAGTTGTAACTGGTACACGGACTGTCTGCTACCAGGTGGTAGCATCGATTGCGATTGTTTTCATTCCTAAATCGGTCGGTGACGAAGAAGAAAGAAGAGGGAGAAGAAAAAAAGAAAACTTGGAGATCTGGCGTGGCGACGTCGTGGGAAGAAGCGATTTCTTCTCCCCAGTAGAAGAAACCGAGCGAGGCGATGCCTTTCTTCTTCTTTTTTTTCGCACAGGGAAATCGAGCGACGTCGCCTTTCCCCTTTTTTTTGCACGGGGAAACCAAGGTGACGTCGCCTTTCCCTTTCCCTTTTCCTTTTGTTTGCACGGGGAAACCGAGCGATGTCGCCGCCTTTCCCTTTTTTTTTGCGCGGAGGAGAAGGAACCTCCTCACCCGGGCAGAGCCATCGTTTTTTTTTTTAATTTTTTTATATATATACCGAGCAGTATACCGAAATGTACCACCCGGTATATTTATACCGGACCATACCGAACTGAGCTCGAAACTCTAGTATGGTACGAAATTACAAACCTTGGTAACAAGAATGTTTTTACTTCACTAGTAAAGAAATGTCCATATTCCATTCTGTTGTACTTGACTATTTTGTTTTATGATGAATGCTAAGTTTTAACGACCTTGTTGATTGTCCTTTTGGCTAATTAAAGTACATATGATGTTGTGGGCCTATGCTACAAATTTAAAGTTGTGTCCTTATGAATGATTTGGTTATTCTTTTTTCTGCCCATATAAGACATTGGGCTGCCTATACAATGACAATCTCTTTGACAAGGAAAACACTTTCCTGTCCCATATCATTAACAAGGAAATAAGTTGCTTTACCAAGAAAGCTACACCAGTGGCATAGCTTAAAGCAAAGGGATGAAGCTGTTACTTGTCTTTCCTGTATCACTCTTCTAACTAAGTTCTAACTGTATCCACATAAGGCATTTATTGGAACTCTAAAAGGATTGAAAAATAATCTAATTGGTCCCTTCAAGAAAAAGGAAAACTTAAATGGAGGATGCTAATCTTATGTCTTGCTGAAAGCACTTCTTGTTGTCAATTTACTTGATGATATACTTCCAATTACTGATAACTTTATTAATCTTCAGGGCTGGTTATTTTCCTCAGATGCAGCATTTTGGAGGCCACCTCAAATGAAAGTATCATTCTATACTACATGTTTATTTAATAAACAAAGCTGTTGTAGAATTACAAGTTATAAATTCTGTATTTCCTTGTTTTCGATGGTACTATGATTATTCATATTATACATATTATACATATTATTATTATTATTATTATTATTATTATTATTATTATTATTATTATTATTATTATCATCAGGGTTCGTCATTTTGAGTATCGGACCCATCTTGGAGATTTGTTGGTATGGTACATATCGATTTGTATCAGTGTACCAACACATGGTATGTCGGGGCATGCCGACAGGGACTCGAGTGAGCCACGTCTCGGTGGCGAGTCGGCCTGGTACGTACTGCTCATACTATATCAACTCGGGCGGTACAAGAAACCTTGATTATTATTATAATTATTTTGGATTAATCAACCCCCTACCCTTGCACTCCCGTCTTGATCTCTCACTGTGCTCACATCACTCGTGCCACCCATTGCCATAGGCCCTTACCTCTTTCTTCTATTTTTCTCTTCTTCCTCCTCTTCTACTTGTTTTTTTCTCTTCCTCTTCATCCTCCTTTTCTCCTCCTCCCCCCTTTGGATTTTATGGCACATAATGATGTTGTGTCAGTATCGTGGTTCATGCCAAACCCATACTAGTCTGACCTGGTTATAGGAGGAACCAGTACCCAAGATTTTAAACCATGATTAATGCCACAAGCAAGGGTCCACGGAAACACCCTCCCTGCTTCTAGGGTTAAGGTTGCTTATATCGACTCTTCCCAAATCTTGCATTGGCTGAAGCATTGTACTTTGAACCACCTTCTCTTTTCTTTTTACCATAGACAATGGTCTTAGTGGATTCAAGCCAGATTCTCAAGGCAAGTGTAAGTTCATTAAAAAGCTTGTAAGTTATCAGAATACACAATTCTACTATTTGAAAGTTAGAGAGAGAGAGAGAGAGAGAGAGAGAGAGAGTGGCATGAACAAAGAAATAAGTTAGTTTAAGAATCTGATGCTGATATCTCAATAATGACCTGGTCCTAGGTATTCGGATGGACCTGCCTATGAACTATGCTTGACATGACAATAATGGAGGCTTTTTCAGTGTCTGGTTGAGTATATAAATTTATGTTTGAATATGGCTTGTTCATGGACTGTATAGTATCTTATCTTTTCTTTCCACATGGAATTTAGCTTTTCTGGAAGAAATTTTTAGACATCACAAATTGTTCTTTCTTTTAATTTTCCGTTGGAAATTTCATTCTTAGGAAATTTGTCACATATGTAGATTGCATTTTAATTGAGCTCTTTTAATTCTTGAGGAATGCAGTAATTCAATTTATTGGTTTTTCTAGGCACTTCTGCATTCTGTTCCTATTGGAAAGATGATAGTCCTTGACTTGTTTGCTGATGTCAAACCTATATGGATACAATCTTCTCAGTTCTATGGGGTTCCATATGTCTGGTATAATCCTTATCTTAACGTGTTTATGCCCTCTTATTGTTGTAATTAAACTTCATATCAAATGTAAAATTTTCAGATGTGAGACAGTTGTTTTATTTCTATAACCAGGATTTTATTAATTTATCTTACAAGAAATTTATTTTAATAGGTGCATGTTACATAACTTTGGTGGAAACTTGGAAATGTATGGCATACTTGACATGATCTCATCAGGCCCTAATGATGCTCGTCTTAGCAAGAATTCTACCATGGTATGCTACTAGTCAGTTAATACATTTTTCTGACTGAGGAAATAGTAGGATGAAAAATGAGAGTTACAAAAGCATTTTCTGGAGAGAATCTGACTAAATGTATAACAATAACAACAAGCTGTAATGTCTCAGTTATTTGGGATTGGTCACATGAATCGTTTTCCTACATTCTTCATAAATAATCTGACTAAATGTCCAAATCAATTGTGATGCCAAGATTTCATAACAAGTTGCAGACTGTACTATTCTGGAAGATACAAACACTATCAGCATTAATTATTTGTTCTCACTTAAAAGTATTTAAAAGCTACCATAAGGCTGAACCATATAAATAAGGATAACTCTTCACCACACTTGCTTCAAATCAAGGTTCGTAATTTCGTATCATACCGGAGTATCGAGCTCAGCTCGGTATGGTACGGTACGAGGGAGGGCAGCGACGGATCGGGATCGTCAAGGGAGAGCAGCGTCGGATCTTCAAGTTTTCCCTTTTCTTCTCCCTCGGCTAATACCGCCCCGTAGTGGGCGGTGATGGTCAAAATCGATTGTCACCGACCGATTTTGCATGGTAACGGAGTGGAAACAGCCCCAATCGATGGTACCACCCATACCGGGCGGTATTATTCGAAATTAAAAATGTAACTTCAAATATGCACTTGTTTTATCCTAATTCTAAATTACATACATATCAGACATCAAAAAGTATTCAAAGAGCACACACTATAGAACTCTGGTGCTTGAATTCAAGAATGACAGTGATATGCTAGAAAAGGCTAATGAAAAACCGGAGTGCTGGCCTTTCTAAATAGAATTCTTACAATGACATCAAGGGTCTGGTTTGTTTGCAGACACTAATATGATCGTTCACATTTTCCATAATAATTAGAATGACATGCTATTCTTGTGCCGCAGTAAGAACAGTTTCTTCTTTGCCTTTTTGAAGATGAGAAAATCTTCAAAGACTAGAGGCATATACAATGATATCAGAATTTGTTTTATCACCTACACATTTGGCATTGACAAGTGCAAGGGTAAAAAAGAAGAGGAGAAGAGAATGGTAAAACTAGAGGGTCTGGTTCATGATTACATATATAGATGGTAAAGACAGGAGGAAACCAGCAGTATGCTATCTACAAAAGATAGCAGAATATCTATCATATGGCAATATGTACTTCTAAAAATTTCATATTAGTAAAATCATGCTGATGAAGTTTCTGATGATCAAAATTGACAATCCACCTGATATTGTGTTTTTTATTTTTTTATAATTGTTTAATTTTCTTCATCTGTTCATAATAGAAACAAATAATAGCTTAATATAGATTGAACCTTGATATTTCATGATTTTGAGTGAGTCTTTCTTAGTTTGCTGCCATCTTTAGTGTATTCATGTATATGCAACGCTGTTTGAGGTACTTGTCGGTTGGGTGCCACATAAGCCATATTCTTTAAATTAAAATCTATTAATATTCCATTATACCTCACCTTGGTAGTGTACATGTACTAAAATTTCACCATTGCTTAATTATGCTATAGGTTGGTGTTGGTATGTGTATGGAAGGAATAGAGCACAATCCTGTAGTGTATGAGCTTATGTCTGAAATGGGATTTAGAAGTCAAAAGGTTGAACTCAAGGTAATGAACTTTACCAACTTCTTTAGATTGTTATAGTTTTTTATTCTGTTAGATATTGGATTATGTTTAATATACATATCATCTGAATTTGATTATTGATAATTCAACTTCACAAACTTATATACTGGTCTTGATCTTTAGTTTCTATGCAGTTCTCAGTGAACCAATTGATTGTCATTTTCTTTCAGATATTTCACCTGATACGCAAAACATAATGATGTATTTTGTTACCTGAATAATATGTATCCTTGCAAAACACAAGCTTTAAGTTCTAGAAGCACGAGGGTGCTGTATGTCTGCTGGAATGTACAAGCCTGTATATCATGCGATGCTAAGTGTTCGTGCCAGTATACCAAGCTATATGGACAGTGGAATAACCATCCATTTTGGTTTTACCATTGTAAGAAACTAAAAGAAGGGAGAGTAAGAAGCAAAAGAGAAAAGGAAAAGAGAAACATTTATCCATTCCTTTATGGTGAACTGGGGTTGCTACCTCATATCTCTAGCGAGGTTGACCTAAGTAGAATAGCATGCTGTTACCTCTCATAACCAAGGACATTAATACGGAGATAGTACTAGAGATCAGTTGGTTCTCTATTTCCTCGCTAGGTGGATCTACAGAAGCATGTTGGGAATGAGAACAAGAGGCCACCAGAGGCATAAATCTTAAGCTATTAAGGATTGCAATAGTCACTTCTCTTTACCTTTTTCTTTTTTGTGCTCAATGTAAGAGACAACAAGAATTAAGTCTTTTGATAATGTTGGGCATGAAAATAAGGTACTATACCAAACCATAATTTGGAATTGTGCTTCAAATTACTTGTCACATACATATTAGAAATTGTACAATAAGATACTTCCGGATGCATACTAGATATCAACATTTTAAAAATATAAGTCCAACTGGCATGCAATAACCAGGGTTTTGAATACTGGTTTGTACCGGTGTATCGAGCTCTGCTCAATACGGTACCTATTGGTATATACCGTCAATACGTCAGGTCGTATCGATGATATACCCTAAAACATTAAAAATACCTCCACCAACCACGCTTGGGTGTAAATGAGGTGTTCGATGTAATGCTTATGTATGTCCGTGTCTTTCGGTTTTGTTTATGCTTTGCATAGCATATAAAGGGCTGGTAGTAGGCTTAACAACCCCTTTTCTTTGGTTTTGGTGATCGTCCTAGGTTTGCAAACAAAGGTTGTGTCATGTGGGCACTTATGAGGATTTCGGTCTGTGGTGGACCATTTTGGACCCTTTGTTGTGCGACCGTTCAGAACTTGTAAAGTTTGTTTGTAATTTGCATTGGCTATGAAGTGTTTACTGAAATAATTGCTTGTGGATCCCGAGTGAGACGTTTTCTTTAACCCGTTTTCTCTTTTGTAGGTCCTAAGGGACCATAGTAGGTTTCGGGGAGGCTGACCTTTGTGGACGGACACACAAGTGTGCCGCACGACTTAGGCAAAACCAACTAAGTCCGTGACATTATGATATCAGAGTGGGACAAGCACTCATAGAAACACTTGGCATGCAAACGTAGGGGACCTAGCAGGGCTGCGTTGAGGGCAGCCAGCACGCACGATCGTTTGGGTGAAAACAGGCATGAAGATGTAGGGAAAAGGAGTCGCTCAGAGAAGCAAGCATCTGAGATTGGCATTCAGAGGAACGACCAACCATTCGCGCAAGAGGCACCACGAGAACAAGCAAGTTGGGAAGATTGCGTAGCACGCAAAGGTTGGGATGGCTGAGTTTGAGCTACGGCTCAACGTTGGCAACAATACTTGATGGTGCTCAAGGCAAGTGAGGCGTTTGGTAAAGGATGAGACCATGCAAGGTGGAATGGGTTGTTCAACGACCGAAAGAGTTGTGCAAAGCTTACAGAGGTGAGGGCAATTGCTAACTCAAAGAATTCGGTACTCATGCAACGACTTGTATATAAACGATGGAGTGTTCATGGCCATCTCAAGGCGACCGAAACTTGGCACCATGGAGCATTGAAACTTTCTCTTCAGTATGAGAAGGATACATCCGTAGGAGGCTGAAGTGTGCAGTGAGTTCAACATGTTGATACTCCTTGAGGGGTGCAGCGAGGGTTGTATTAACATGGAGTCGCAATCTAGCAAGTGCATTTGCAGGGGTAGAACAATGCACAGTTTGTTCAGTATAGCGGAGTAGTCCAAGGGGATGGTGGTCTCCGAAAACTTCAATAGGGAAGGATGCGAAGAGCAAAGTTGCTCCAACGGGACAGATATCTAGGAGGGATAAGTCCCGGCTCTCCAGAGAAAGAATCATTGCAACAGACCGCACATGTTGAGGAGTACCTCAAAAACAACTCCACAAAGCTCAACGGACCGAGTGAGTGGTGAGGAGTCGTCGCATGATCTCGCTTGAGATAATGCATTGGGGGATGCATTGCGAGATTAAGTGGGGGAGTGACCCAAGACAACACAAATGAAGGCACACTTGGAGTCGATATGAAGATCAGACTCAATAGAGGGCTGACCCGTGAAATGGTGGGCGTGAGGACCATCATCAACTCAATGCAAATCGAGGAGCGGAGCAACTTGGGTGTAACTTGGCGAAGTACCCAAGCCGCATGAAGGGAGCCGACATAGAAGATGGAACATGGAGCGGAGGCACAAATCTTTCCTTGGACAGAGGTCAAGGACATGAACTCTTGCAGAGGCAAGAGTGGGATCATGTCATTCCATGGGTCCCTCATTCTAATGGAGCGGACTCATCCTACATGGTGCCAAAGACAAAGGGAGCTTCGAGATACATGCACTTTATCTCGGAGAAGAATTTGATGGAGGAACTAAGACAACTCAACTTGCGGAGGCAAAGTTGGATTCAGAAAGCCTTGGCACAGGGCAAGAAAATGCAAAGGCGGGTACTCTTGAAGAATATGTTATAGTGCTGCCATTCAAGTTGCCATGAAGGAAGCGGTGCGCAGCGGAGATTGTGTTGGTAGGGGTAGAGGCCCAAGATCCAGATAATGGTGCACCAATTTCAGCGAAGTCGGTGGACTTCGAGAGCTACTAGGCGACGAACTGTCCTAGAGCGGTGCTTTGTCTAGGTGTGACCCGAGAGTGTGTGGACGAAGGTCGATTGCCACAGGAGCGAACACAATCGAAAGTGGAAGAGGCCCTACGATGTGTTGGCAGAGACCACACATGGAGGGATCACAATCCGAGTTCATCCCACAAAGATCAGAATGCAATGGAGATGTCATCATAAAGCGACATGGTGCAACGAATCGTGGTAGAACAGTTCGTGGCAATGCGATACATATAAATCTAGTCCTACGAGGGACTATATCATACGAAGGTATGATCGGGAGCTCCACTTCGATGAACAACACGACGACAAGAAAGACTATTGATTCAAGGAGTGAATGTCATGGTATCGCAGAGGCGGGTCTTCCATGCGTGCATCGAATTATGCATCGGATAAAAGCCTTGGTCATCAGCATATGGGAGCTGTGTACCATCGAGGGAGTATACCGAATGCGAGTACCAGTGAGTCTCGTAGGAGGGACTTGATCATGTAGAGGTATGATCAGAGTGGCTGGAGAGTTAGACTACTCCAGAGCTCATATTTGCTTAAGGGAGCTTGGCAAGTCAGAGGACAAGACCGAGTAAACAAATGTTGCTACCAAGGAAGCTAAGGAGAACAGAATCGGTGTTAACCCTATAACATGATGGTAGAGTCATTGGCGTGTTGAAGCAACATGACATATTAAAAGTTTGACTACTCAACAACAGCAGCGGAGAGCAGTTGGGAGCCAAGAGGCGCATTGCAGCTGGAGCAGAAAATTAAAGACTCAGCAAAGGTGAAGAGTTGTAGCGTCAACAAGGGCTTCAACAACGATGTCGAAGGAATAAGTGGAGGAGAATGTCACGGACAAAATTGTAAACGGGGTGTTCGATGTAATGCTTATGTATGTCCGTATCTTTCGGTTTTGTTTATGCTTTGCACAGCATATAAAAGGCTGGTAGTAGGCTTAGCAGCCCATTTTCTTTGGTTTTGGTTGTCGTCTTAGGCTTGCAAACAAATACTGTGTCATATGGATACTTGTGGGGATTTCGGTCTGTAGTAGATCATTTTGGACCCTTTGTTGTGCGACCGTTCAGAGTTTATAAAGTCTATAATTTGCATTGGCTATGAAGTGTTTACTGAAATGATTTCTTGTGGATCCCAAGTGAGATGCTTTCTCTAACTCGTTTTCTCTTTTGTAGGTCCTAAGGAACCATAGGAGGTTTCGGGGAGGCTGACCTTTGCAGACAGACATACAAAGGTGCCGCACGACTTAGGCAAAACCAGTTAAGTCCGTGACAGCCCGGTAGAGAGTGGTCCACATACTGATATTCTCTCGGACTGGTATGTACCATTTGTACTGGGTGGTACATATTGAAATTGAGAACCCTGAGTCTAACCAAGAACCAAAATTCTAATATTTAGTGAACCGTTTATTTTCTCTCTTTATTTTATTCAATGATACTTGGTGGTACAAATTAGTATTTTGACTTGTATACTTGTCCCATATCAGTCTTATAGGTTACTGAAACCGACATTGGACCTGTATTTAAAATCTTGCTAGCTCAGAGGTTTCTTTTTGTAAATAATTATTAAAGAGACCAAACACTTATAGGATACTCTGGCCTTTGGGGACTTGACAAAAAGTATTTTGGTGAAATTTATTTTTTATTACATGCAGGATGGTTGTATAATTAGGTAATGTCATTTTATGTTACTTTTATTGAACATCAAGTTATGATTAATAAAAATTAACATAATAGTACTCAAATTTTCAAAGTTCTTGTTATCTTTTCCATAGTCTTGACTCTTGAGTTATTATGTCTTTAAAATAATCTCTTTCATAATGATAGGTTGGTGAGGCAGTTAATATCTTGTCATAATATATAATGAGATGTAATTACATATTTTGTCACAATGAATCTCCATGCTGTATTGTATCCTATTTTATTCGAGATTTGTCATATCAGTTCATCTATATTATGCTCGTATCAATGCATTCATATCATGTCATACAGTCATCGCCTCAGCATTATCTCATATTTGTATCCATTCTTCACATGTTCCAACAAAGTATCCCTGCCATTGTAGGTTTTATATTCTTGGGTACTTCTCCTTTCCTAAATGATATGTACCGTGCATCCAGTTTGCAAAATACATGAAATGTAGTTTGTATATATATATATATATATAGATGAATCATAATGTGTGTGTGTGTGTGAAGATTCATCATACCGTAGTGTACTACTTAGTATGGGATGGTATGTACCGGTCCAATAGGTGACCAGTACAGGCGGTATATCAGTATGCTCCTATGTATCATATGTCAGTACGATTTGGTACAGTTTGATACATACCGTACCGATAGTTGGTCGGTACATTGGTATGGACCGGTAATATGAATGTATGTATGTGTGTGTGTGTATGTCAACTTTCTTTTAATACCATTAACCCCCTGGCATATGTTGTATAAGCACTAGGATTTAATCTTTTTGGTATGAAGAATTTGACAAAATTGAACTAAACATGAAGAATTTACGAAGTAAAATGAGACATTTCAATGGAACTCGTTAAATTGGACTATTGGGTCAATTATTGTACCCTAAAAGTTAGTCAATTAAATTATCATGATGGATAAGACCACTTACATGAACAATAACATTTACTTGTGAACCACATTATTTGTCTGTAGCAATTGTCTGTCTTTCGGATCTTAACTCGCTCATGTTGACCTGTATGGTTCTTCATTGTTTGGATGTTAACTACTCCCATGGTTTTCATAATGACATGTGAACTACTGCCAGATGAGATTTCTTCATAACCAATTTGTGCTATTGATCCTATAGGAATGGTTGAAAAGCTATTCTCTTAGGCGCTATGGTCAGGCATTTCCCCAGATAGAAGCTGCATGGAATATTCTTTATCATACAATATATAATTGCACAGATGGAGTAGCTGTATGTTTCTTGTCCCATTATTGAAATTATCTTTCTCAACTTTACAGATGTCCAAAGATTTTTATTATTTGAAAAATAAAGTTTAGAAATGTTGTTTCAAATTTCAATGAGATTACATTCTATGCAATGAAATTCATGTCACCTCCTTGTACACAGATTACAAATATATTTGCTCTGGATAAGTATATCTAGAGTTGGTGTACAGAAAAGTATTTCTTAAATTATCTCATCTTAAATAAATAGATTGTAGTGATCAGTGTTCCATGAAGTGGCCACTTGGGCACAGATGTGGCCAAATGTCTATGTATGAATTATGAACTAAAAAATATATAAATATATGGAGGCTCATGTGGACCGTGCCCCACACGTCAGCTGAATTGGCTTAGTCAAAAGGGTCAGTGCTAGCCAGAAGGCATATCAATATGTCATTGGCACGATATGCTACCCAGTTACTATGTAATTTCTGGCAAAGAGAAACTGTGTTTAAAATAATTAAAAAAAGAGAAGAAAAGTTGGAGGAGAAGAAAAAGGAATCAAGAGAAAACTAAAAAAGAGAAGAAAAGTTGGAGGAGAAGAAAAAGGAATCAAGAGAAAACTATCACATACCTTTAGTGAAGTAACCTATGAAGTCGTGAGTCCTCAAGCAATAGTTCCAAAGCAGTGATGCTCTGCAATAAGAGCTTTGATCATGCCACAGCCTTAAGGCCATCCCAATATATGGAGAGCCCAAAACCAAGCAGACATGACAAATGAGTTGAATCAGCAGAGGTCCTTGCAGATCTAAGCTGAACCCATGAGGATCTGACCTGCATCTGTGCAAACTTAGACCAAGTTGATTTATTCTTAACTAAATCCTTGCTTTACTCATATTTAGAGACACGTTTTTCATTTAAGAACAATTGAGAGCTTATATAATCTCAAATTTATAGAGGGAGGGGAATCATTGTGCTAACTAGCTATCTGTCTATGCAAAGATTGGTAAATGCAAACAGTTCTTGAAGGACACTCTGCCTCTAAATTTGCTTGAAGTTTAGTTATTGGATGAGAAGGGCTTTGGTTGTATCAGGTTTTTGAAATAATACAGATCTTCCCTTTGGGAAAGAAAAAGGATGACATTAAAAATTGAAAATAATGGATATACAAATAAAAAGTGCAATAAATCCAATTATAATATTAAGTTAGACATGTTTGAAGTCATTGATGCAAGTAATCAAATACTGGTAGGATTATTTGGTATTGAGAAATAATTTTTGGTGTGATCGAAGATCCAAACTGTAGCTTATAGCTCGGTACCAGTCGATATTTAATTTTCTCAATTAACTTTTTGACGGTGCCATGTTATACAGATTGGTGGTATGTATCTTTCTCTCCCTATTTATATGCATCTCTCATTGTCACCTGCCTTGCACCGACCACTATAGTCATCCTGTCGATCTATTTGTTACTCTTCCTTTTCTTCTCCTCCTTTAAAACTCAACCACCTCTTTTTCGTCCTCTTCTCCTAGTCTCATCCTCGGCCGCTTCTCCTTCTCTCATCCTCTACTGCCTCTTTTTCCTCCTCTTCTTCTCCTATCTTCTGTCGCCTCACTTTTTTTCTCTTGTTCTCCTCTCATCCTTCTCTTCTTCCCTCCTCTTCCTCTCTCCCCTTCTTGGTACCATGGTATGTATACACATATCATGTTCCGATTTATTGGCATGAATCACATCCATATTGGTCCGACTATGGACAGGCATCGATCTGGTATCCGAAATGGCAAAGCTTGGTATCCAACATAAAATATATGGGAACTCAAGAGTCCATGTAAAGTTGATTTTTATTTTTGGTCTCTAATCCTCCCTAGACCCTTGCATTGGTGGGAGCCTTGGGTTCTTTGGCAGGACCCTGCATTGGCGGATCCTCCCTAGTACATGTAAACTAGGTATGTCCATTTTTTGCTAGTTATCTTTTTATTTTTCTGACCCTGCTGCTGGTCTGCTTATGGTTTCTTTCGGACAGAATCTCTTCCCTTTCATTGTTTACAATAGTCCAAAGACACTTGTTCCTCAGGCAATGGATTTGAGCTCTACCAACCAACACGGAGTGCTGACATCTCTACAAACTGTGAAACTCAGCAAGGATGCAACTACTGATCTTTATAAAAGCATCCTTTTCTGCACATTTATACTTTTTGAGGCCCATTTGAAATCTGAAACCAATTGCTTTGTTCCTGCTAAACAACTATGACCCATTCTTTGGCAATCTTGTTTATGCTTTAATCTTTCTTTGGTTGGATTTTAAATTCTAAAAAGGTTAAGTTCTAGAAATTTCATATGCTATCAGAATATATAGTACAAGAAAGATAGTGTTACATTGACAACGATGTGAGATTGATGTGTTAATATTCGAAAAAACAAAACAGAAAATGTTCACACTCATGAACAGTAAGATGAAAGCTTCAACTGTGGATAAAATGAGAAAAGAAGTCATTGTAAACCATAAAGAATGATTTGATGCTTTTAGCTTAATTAGTGATATTTCACTCGACATAATTAATTAATGGGTGAGGATATATGTAGCTAATCCCTAAAATTCTATTTGTTTTACTGCAACTATGACATTTGTTATAACCAGGGTAGGTCTTTTTGTCATCTCAAATGGTCTATTGAGATTGTTCAATTTCATCCACAGAATGAATCATAAGGTATCTCCATTTAGTTTTGGTGATTGCACAAAAGTTTGTTGGGTACCTTGTCTATTAATCTATATGTAATCCTTGTATACCTGATTCTGCAAAAGGAAGTTAGCCCTATTAATTTACAGTTAGAAAATTGTGCTATTAAATATAAAACTTGTTTCCATTTCTTCTCTAATGAACTGTGTCCCGAACCAGGATCATAACAGAGACTACATAGTCCAGTTCCCAGATTCTGTTCCCATTCTACAGGATTCTCAGTCTTCTAATGAAGGACCAAGCAGAAGATTCTCAGTGGTGGACAAGAACCATAGGTTCTCATTTAGGGAGACTAGTTCTAGTATGCCACGTCCACATTTATGGTATTCAACTGAAGAAGTGATAAATGCCCTTAAGCTATTTCTTGATGCAGGAGATAATCTCACAAGAAGTGCAACATACAGGTAAATACTTGCTTTTCCATTCATTATTTCTCCAATACTCACATCACGTTGTTGCCACCTATCTTTCAAGTGTCAAACTAGGTTTAATTGATACCTGATATTTTAACCATGTGAGGTATACCTAAATCTTGTTGTTTGTACCAGATATGACCTTGTTGATCTTGCAAGGCAAGTGTTATCAAAACTAGGAAATCAGTTTTATTTAGATGTGATGACTGCATACCAAGAGAAGGATGCAAAAGCATTAAATTTTCACAGCCAAAAATTTCTGGATCTTATCGAGGACATTGACGAGCTTTTGGCTTCTAATAACAACTTTTTGCTTGGGACATGGTTAGAAAGTGCAAAAAGCCTAGCAGTAAGTGATAGCGAGAGAAGGCAGGTGAGTCCAATTATCTGTAATTGTATAAATTTAGATCTTCTTTATTGGTATAGCTAAACTCGACCGATGTGCAGTATCAATGGAATGCAAGAACACAAGTAACAATGTGGTATGACAACACGAAGACCAACCAGAGCAAACTTCATGACTATGGTAGATACTCGTTGAATGTAAATCTTGAAGTATAATGCTTGCATACATCTGACCTTTGCATATGCATCTTTATGCTCAGCCAACAAATTTTGGAGTGGCCTGCTCAGGAGCTATTACCTACCCAGGGCTTCAACTTATTTCAGTTATCTATCTCGAAGTCTGCAACAAAATACGGACTTCGCTTTGGAGAAATGGAGAATGGATTGGATATCATATTCTAATAATTGGCAAGCAGGCACGGAAGTTTATGCTACCGAAGCTGCAGGCAACTCTATAGCCATTTCTAAAGCCTTGTTAGAGAAATATTTTAGCTGATTTCACTTTTTCTTTCTCCATTCGAACTATGGATGTAAAATAAATAAGCAGATTGCAGTTTATTGGGTTCCAGTGATTTCCCTGATCTGAACTCCCAATTTCTATTTCATGTTATGTGGACAAAAAACAGTGCTGGTAATGGCACTCCATAGATTGCTTGCTCCTCACAAGATCATATGGAGAAAACAAAACTTGTTCCCACCACGTACTACAGGTACAAAGGTGTTAGGCCACTGAGGGCTTGTTGACATATTATTACTTGTTGCCAAGATTCCAAGAAGGCAGTCATGGTGCAAAGATTCTGTAGAGGTTCTGATCTTGATGTTCTCTGGCAGTTTGGTTCTGCTTCGAAACTTCAAAGCTGCGAAGTGTTTTTCTGTATTGATAATGATCTCCTCAACATAATTAGTTAATGCTCACATTATCATATATTTTTCATTGGTGAAACTAGAAGTATTTCTTTTTAATTATTAAGGTGTACTAATTAGCATTTAGTTTTCTTTTATGTACATATAGGAAAGGTAAACAATAATATGTTCTTCATTCACGAAAATATAATTATGATTTTATATTTTAATTTTAGATAAACTAAATAACATTTGAAATTTTGTTTTGTGCAGTAATTGTGTATAAGGTGAAAGAATATACTATTGAGCAACTATACTTTTTATTAAGTATTGAAATTTCATATCATACTGGAGTTTCGAGTTTTGCTCGGTATAGTATGGTACGATGTATCGAACGGTGCATCTAATTTAGGCGTAAAATTCTCTAAAAATATTTAAAAAATAAAAAAAAAAGTTAGGATAGAGTTTTTACATGAATTTAGGTGAAAATTTATGTAATTACTAATTACATGAATCACATTTGCTTACGGCAGCTCCTAAGGTATGTATTAGTGAATGTTAGAGTTTCTACTTTCGCTATTGATCTCTTGTTTCATATCATACTGTTGTTCGGAGAAGTATGATCAATTATCATTGTATTGTTGTTGGTCGTATGATTCTCCATAATACGACGGTTGTGAATACAATTATCATTTTATGATCTGAATCTTGGGTGATATGTGTAAAATATTGTTCCTGATTAAAAGGTTATTTTTCTTAATTATTTCAAATTAGTTTCAATTTAATTCATAAAAAATTGCTATGTAAAATTTAGAAGAATGAAAATATGAGAAAAAATGAGTTTAAGATAATTTAAAATAGTGTGAGAGTAAAATGAAGTGAAATAAGAGAGATAATAATGTTTCAACGATCAATTTAACTATTGAAACACTATTATGGGTTGATTTCGATTTTTACTATAGTCACGTATCGAATTGCATTTCACGTGACTTGTATCAGCTAAAGCATGAGATAATATCTTCATTTATATGTAGATTTTGTGTTAATGCCTATATTTTGTTGATGGATGACCATTAAACCATGTCAACAATACGATTTGTTATGTCAACAAACTAAATTAATAGATTTTGGCACATTAATATCAGGAATGTACTATGTAGATGAATAAAGGTTAAACCGCCAAACAAGTTCTTACATTAACTTCAAGAGTGTAGTATATAGATGAATAAATGTTAATCTGAACCATTACCTTACATTAATAATATCACTTTCTCGTTTACTAGGGTGTCTTTTTCAGCACTTAAATGGGCATCAGTTCATATGGATCTTTGGAGGATTTGAAGTTGCCATCCTCTTATTGCCATTTAATTATCAAGGTACAACAAACACATTAAATGATGGAGCAAAATTGATTGCACGTTGGTTTCACATGGGTGTCCGTATGTGGATCACGAGATGTGTCACATACGAAGTCGGTGTTTAGGTCGGAAGCTAATAAAAAGGCCTTTATAATCAAAAATTAAATTTTCACTTATATGTTCCTCCGAATACTTATACTGACTTGTAAGTTTGTGTATGAATTAATACATTAACAAAAGTTACATTGTCTCAATAGAGATATCTGTGTTGGTTAATACATTGTTGGATAAGTAATAGGATTCAGGTTTGAATCGATCATCATCTATGCCTGTAATGAAAATTTTTTTTAAATAAAAGTTATATCTATCATTTTGCATTGATTTTATGACATATAAGTTAATGATAGTGATAATAGTGATAATGATGATAATTATTAATAGCAAAGTTTAAATTTAGTGAAGGTGAAGGGCTCAAAATCTGATAAATCTGATAATAATGACAAGTACTGATAGGAAGAGCTGATGGTGACATGACGAGGATGAGCATAATGCATATTCCTCAATAATAATATTATATAGGTTAAAATTTAGTTTCGATGACTTAAGTCTTTATGATTTAGTTATGGCTAAAATAATTTTTATATTTTTAAAAAATAATATATAAGCACCTCCCATCAAGTATGAGTAAATAAATATTAAAATTTACTATGGTTACTCCAATAAATTATTAATATAATGACACATGTAATTTAAATTTTAAAAAATTAATATCCATTTTAGTCTTTATGGTTTTGGATATCGACCTCTTAAGCTCTTATGTTTATTTATTTCTAAAATAATTTTTACATTTAAAAAACGTAATATATAAGTCTTTCCCATCAAATCTGAGCTAAAAAACATTATAGTTTGATTACGTAGAATGTCGACTCATTATAAATCATTAATATAATGATATATGTAATTTAAATTAAAAAAAAGGCTAAGATCCATGTTATCGAGGAAGAGGAAGCGGCGGAGGCCATAGTAGTAAACGAAAGTGAAGAAACAAATGTAAAAGAGGCCATAGGTGGAGGTGAGGAAGAGCTAGACCACCACGTCGTAGGTGCGACGGGTGAGGGTGCCAGAGAGGACGAAGTGGGAGGCAGTAGGGGTGAAAACGCTTAAGAGGAGGAAGAGGGATTATGATACCACTACGTGCATAACATCAGATTAGTCGATGCATATCCATCTAAGGTAGGACCAGAAGCTCCTGAGCTCATCGTCAACGTAGAAGAGATTACATGCGTACGATGCTCTGCTAGGCAATAATGGCTTAGTGCTATTGTTGGTGGTTAGTGGAGACGATACATCCTCCCATTATTGATGGTGGTCTCAATTATTTTTTAAACTTAAATTACATGTCATTATATTAATGATTTATTGTGAGTTAGTATGTCACATAAATAGATTCTAGCGTTTGTTAATTAAGACTTGACGAGAGGTTTATATGCTATGTTTTTAAAAATATAAATGTTATTTTATATACGAATAAACCATAAGAGCTTAAGTGGTCAATGATCTTAATTATTTTTTAAATATAAATTATATGTATTATTATATTAATAATTATAAGTAAGTATATTACGTAAGTAGACTCTAACGTCTATTAACTCAGATTTGATGGAAGAAACTTATATGTTACGTCTTTAAAAATGTAAGAGTTATTTTATATATGAATAGATTGACTTAAGTGGTCTATTACTAAAATCACAATGGACCTTAACCCTGTAATATAAAAAAAATATATATATATATATCTAATCCACATCTCGAATATAAAACAATATAAATTTCCCTTATTTGCATGATGCTGACCGTTAGTGGCATGCAACATATGTGATTGAATAGTATTTAGGGCTTAGGTACCTTAAGTGTTAAATTCTATATATTAGAAATGTTTTATGATCTTAATATTGGGTAGTTAAAAAAATATATATAAATAAATAATATATCTTATATTGTTCAGATAAAAATATTAAGATAAATATTTATGTTACATGAAATGATAGAAAAATTTTATCATTCCTGAATAGTTAGATGTATCTTTGTCTCTGTTAAGATGAGTGAGTTGATTAGTATAATATTACATAAACAATAAGTTATAAGTTCTTCATATATGAACATGCATATCATTTGATATAACAAAATTTTTTTATTTATTTCAAATATATATTTTTGATAAAAACATATTATTTAAGATAATATGACATGGCCCATAGACATTATAGTTATAAAAAGCGAAAACAGCAATAAATAAAAAAATAAATAAGGTTATGATTTCATTAATTATAGATTATTTCATATAATTAGCTGTCTTTAGAATATTGATCCTTATATTTTTAAAAATTATAGTGAAATATCTATATTTATGAAAGTAAAAATATTTAATCTTATTTCTTTTCATATCATCAATTTACTAACGAAAATATCATTAAGCATGTACGATATTTTTGTTAGTAGAATCAATAACACGAGGAGAAACGAGATTAAATATTTTATTTTACTAAGTATAATGATTCTAATATAATTTTTAAAAGTATAAAATTTATTATGCTAAATATAGTTAATTATAAAATAATATATAATTAACGGTGTATCAACTCCGTGAAACGCTCCTGCTATTTTCTAGGAATCACGTCGCACGTATGCAACGGAAGGTTGCCTGCGTTCGCATTCAGCGTCAATGCGTACTCTTTTTTTCTACTCACAAGTGGATTGTACGAACTCTTACTAATCTTCCATACCCAATTCCCTTACAGCTCGAACGAGAGAGACGCGAAAAGAGAAAAAAAGGAGGACCCGAGACATGTGGGGTGGGGCCCGAAACAGAGGGAAAGCGCAGGGACTAATCATTCTCTTTTTAAGCATGACTTCCTTTGCAACACTCCTCTCTCTCTCTCTCTCTCTCTCTCGCCCCCTCTCGATCGCTCGCCGGTATTCTCAGGTACGCCGATCCTCCCTCCTCCTCCACTCTCTGCTCTTATTCCTCTGATCCGGCTTCGTGTGGGTCGATCGCCTCGCGGTTGGCTTCCGATGTCGAATCTTAAGCTTATGCTCCCTTCCTTTTGAATGATCGGCCATCTCGTCGGTCCTGAAATCAGCATCGCGAACTAGGAGTTAGATCAGTGATGCATGTTCTTTTGCTTTTTGAGAATTGTATGATTACCAACTCGGAGTTTAATCGTCGATGTTTCCCTTTTTGCTGATTTATCACTGATAACTGTTTGTTCTCTCGTGTTATTTGGTTGATTGGGTGCTTTTCTTTGGCATTTTGTTCGTTATAGTCTGGATCCGTTGTGGACCTCTGGAGTTTTTGGCATCTTGTTGTTGGATCCATATGTCAGGTG